TATTAGTATCATCATTTTTTTATGTTGCACATACATAAAGATGGTGGCTCCTGCTCTCTAGTTGAATGTTTTTTCTGTCCCACATGTAATTTGGTTGATAAATGCTAAAAGTTACACAAGAGCACTGACACGTACAGTGCCCAGAACAAGAACAATGCAGGATATAGTTACAAGAAACGCTAAAGTGTTTCATGTAACTGAGTCAAGTATGAGTTTTATTCACGTTTTATTACCATTTAAAATGATTGAGCTAAAACCCACCTGTAAATGTAGGGCTGGGTGATATGGAGAAAGTCAAATATCACAACAATCTTGCAGGGTTGACTATTAGTGCTTTGACAAAATATGTACACAATGAGATTTTTGATAAATAATCACTAGTAATGCCGATATTATGACTAAAAGGGTGAAGGCAAATAATAGAACAGCTAGAACAGTCTGGTAAGTCCAGAAATTAGATCACTTTACTGTAATGCAGCCTTTAAATCCAGGACAAGACAACCCTCATGCCATATTACAATATTCAAAAACTAAGTAGATACTGGTCTCATATCAAGTTATCGATTCAATATTGTCCAGCCCTATGTGAATGCTATGATTACTTTTGTTTTTGGTTACAGAAAGCCTCTGGGTTTTACCTCTTGGGGAAACAGCATTTGATTGGTTAACAGCCCTTAGAGACAAGATTAGAGCAAAATTTTGGCTCTGCGTTCAGGAAACTCAGGATTTCACACTAGTCTGAAAACAGATTCCTTAACTTAACAATTTGATCAGAGGAAAGCAAGAGATTTGTTTGTTTTATGATTGCTTGCATACAGCTGAAGTTTACCTGCCTAAACCAAAATGTATTGGGCATCAAATAAAAAAGGCTACTCATTCTCTCCTCTTTATAACTCTATTAGAATTGAAGCTCTTGAAACTCTCAGAGGCCTCGCGTGGCTGCACTTTATGGCCTCGTCTACTTTGCAGAGATATTGTCCTTTCTTCCTGCCACCCAGCACACACGATGAGATTCCTCGGCGCACACAGTCACACAGGCTTTTAGACACTCATTAGCCCCTACTAATACAATAAGTGTCACCTTCCATTACATGGTGCTGGGTTGGATATCAGGATTGGAAACCCACCAAATCTCCACACAAGGGGCGCTACCCCCTCATGCACGGTATTGTCTTTCAGTCACAATGTTGAATTGTTTTCTCTTAGCTCTTTCATACCTAAAATATAAGCACGTACACTTGATATAGATATATGCACAAACTGCACATTCTCGCAGACATACAAGCAATCTCATAGGGTAAAATCTAGGGTAAACATTTAAGTGTCGCACATTCCTTCATTGTGTGGATCTTCATGTTAACTTTGGCTTTTGTTTCAGAGCAGGCAGCTGTCTGAGGATCCACCGCACCCCACCCTATTCAGAGCCTGTTGTCTCGCATATGAACAGCACATGCAGAGTTGTAAAAAATCTTAATTAAGACTCCTAATTCTCCGTGCCGTCGCCTGACGGAGGCTGTGCGCTCACGTGAAGCACTGCTGAACACAGCATGAGGGTCGATGTTTTTAGACAGGGACTGTCGTCTTCCTGGCTTTCACAAAGCAGGAACATTTGTCCGTAATCTTCCAAAACAAAACAGGGTTTAAATTAGCTAAGCTAAGATTTTATGGGCTATCTGGTATTAGATATTTGGCTTTACATGCAAACTTCCCATCTAAAGAGCTGTTGCTGAGTAGATAAACTATATTTTTCTTTTCAAGAAAATATGGAATTTGAAGATCAATGTAATAAATTATTTTTTACTGGTGGTGTTGAATTTCTCTGAACTGAACTTCGGAGATTAAAAGTTTTCATGCACATGTTAATGAATGTTCCTCATTATACCAAGAGGCTACCGTATGCCGTACATCACCACACATATAAAAATATGAAGTGACAAGTGTTTGCCACTGTAAAGGTGATTTCAGCTCTGGGTTTTGTATGGAGCCCTTTGGTTCGGAGGCTTCTCCCTCTGAGCGGTGGCAAAGGGCATGTGGTCCTCTGCGTGCAGCAGATGCCCCGAAGAAGACTTGCGACAGATGAGTTGAAAATGAGCGTGACATGTGTTAAACAGGCGAAGCCCCCCCACAACACTGACATTTGACAAGATGATGGGCGTAGGCAATCATTATTGTCTCCACTTAAGCAAGCAGTAAATATTCAGGGCTGACGTCTGTGAAAGCAAAAGCCATAATACAAATGAGCCTGAACAGATTTTCATTAATGATTGAGGTGTTTGAATAGATCGTGATCAGACTCAAACACAGCCGGCTGGTAAAGTGAGACTGAGTGTTTAAACGTGCAAAAGTCTGATGGATTCATATTTAAGGTTTTAAGACAACTATTACTCTAATGTTTTTTCAATAATAACTTTATAATTTAAATAGTAAGTGTCTGAGTTTATGAATTCTTTCGTCAGACACTTGTACTCGTCTTCACACCCTAACAGACCTTCGACCTCGGTCCTTCCTGCCTGACAAAGGTGCCAATGGTGGTGAGTCAGGCATGGGGAGGAACATGCCAGGGAGGTGCCCCCCTCCTCCCCTTCCCCCTCTACCCACCCTCCAGAACCATTTGGACCACAGGGAATGGGTTAATCACATTAGAGGCCCAGAAGAGAGATGGGAAGTAGACAGTACCGTGACAGCCGGGGTAGCACTGGCACGACTAATCCCGTTAGGCCGAGGAAAAAGGGGGACGCCATCTCGCCTACAAGGCTGAGAAAGAAAAAAACATTTTCCCAGGAATGAGTTCACCTGTATGGTAACACAGAGAAGTTGGCCTGTTGATGCCTATTAGAAGAAACAATCGCACTTGGCACATACAAATGTTTTTTTTCATGCTGGGCACCACTTTATTGTCAGCGCGTGAAAAAAAATCAGTCGCAGACAGTGGCATTGCATGAGATCCTCTTTCATGCCACGGTGAAGCAGCCCCTTTCAACCCAGTGCTATCAGTCTCCCAAACAGTGAGAAGATGGGGAGGGGTGCTGTAAGAAGGATAGAGCTTACTTCATCTGCCATTGTAAGTGCACCCGAGTTCAACCTTAATGTAAACCTTTGCAGGCAGGATATGAATAGGATGCTCTCTATAAAAATATATCCTGCTGGGTAATCCGGCAGATGGCCACAGCGGCGGACACTACAAGCGCGGCTGGCCACTGCAGGGGTAACAGGGAACGTCCGACCAGCAGCCACTCTCCAGCCTGGGAGATGTGGAATCAAGATTCTTAACTCCCCTTAGCAACGCTGGGAAACAGAGCCGTCAGTTTAGATCCATCAAGTTTCTACTTAATCTCGCCCACCACTTTTTTCTCTCCATTTTCTCCTTTTTTGTATCTTCCCCTTTTGTTGTGGGGATTAAGCCAAGTGGTAAAACAGTGATTTAATGATCTTTCCATGGCTATGTGCACCACTTAAACCATGAGACAAACAAGCTGAGGCATTCTAAGAGTCACCCCCTCTAAAGGCGGCTGCTCAGGAACTGTGAGGCTTTTGATACGGCCTTAAGCTCCGGCTGATTATTTTTTCCCACTGTCGTGTGATGTGCTTTGCTCTGCTATGGGAAAATTTAAGGTTTTGTGTTTTGTAAAGGCCCATTGTAAACAAGATGAGACAAAAACAGTAAGATAATTACTTGATGATAGCTTTATAATGGCAAGGTATGGTAAATTTCAATGATTTGTTAACGCAGAAAAGAAGCTGTACTGTTAAATTAATTGATTACAAAATAATTTAAATATTAAATACATATAACTATCTTTATAGAAATAATTCTTTCTATCAATTGACTGAACTTCAGCTATAAACAGACAACTAAACAAACCCCCAAACAATACAAATGATACAGCTGAAAGCACCCAAAAAAAGCTCTGTTGAGAGTTGCACATGTACCACTTGGGCACTTGTGAGAAAACAGCAGTGTTTAAAGACAAAATTTATGAGCTAAAGCACAACTGAGCATTTTAATTAAGCTGGAAAAGGAGTTTAGTTGGATGGCGTTAGAGGATGTGGACAAAACTGTGTATGGTGCAGTTTGCCACATGTTTGAGGACAAGGCAGATAAAGTCAAGTCAAGTTTTTAAAGGTCACAAGATGACAATTAAATTTAGTCCAAGTTATCTGATGTCTAATAAATAAAACAATTTGTATCAGGGCAAGTACAAAATGACTGCAGGCAAGTACATTCCTGATCCACCTGCCTTACTGGGCAAGTTAAAAAAAACATTAATGGTGAACTCTGAGTGAACCCCAAGTTTAAGAAAGAACTTAGAAGTTTGAACTCTAAGGCAACATGGATGAGAAGTGCTATGGATGACATTATAACAGGTATTGAGACATGACATAGCAAACTGCTTATGCTGATGAGGATGAGGATGATGTGAAATGGTTGAAAGCTCTGAAAAAAGCAAGGCCCATTATTTGGCATTGTTTTGTCATATCCAAGGGGGTTATCTGCTGGTCTGAAAAGTGAAGCCAATGCGGAAGTGCCTTAAACCTGCAATCTTTCTATTGGCCAGCAGGAGGCACCGTCACTGGTTGAAAAAAGAAATCAGATTGTGTGCAAACCTATGCGTAAATGACCCTACTTCTCACTTGATTTAATACCTCAGTAAACATTTTCGTCGAGTTCATGGTCTCAGTCCCCAGATTCAAGTCTACTGACCTAGCGTAGGTATTTGACAACTTCAGTTGGTGGCTTCTGCGTCAACAACTGCCACCACCTAGTGTTTATTATACCGCCGTGAAAGGTGCCTTTGTGTGTCGCTATCTAACGCCTAGATCACTGACAAAGCTGCAGTTTTGCATGAATTTAGAATGAGGACAGGCTGCCTATTTAAAGTAAAATAGATGATAAAGAAAGGTATTCTTTAGTGTGTGGCTACCTTGTGATTGACAAGTTGCTACCACAGCGGTGTGCTCAGGTTCTCAGTCAGATCTACTCCTCGCTCCTCCACAGCTCCACCCTCTCATCTTAATATGGTCACTTCTGGCTTCACGAATCCAGAATCCAGAATCCAGAATCCAGAATGGGAATCCACACGGCAATGGGTGACATCACGGTGGCTATGTCGACTTCTTTTATACAGTCTATGGTCACATCTCCAAATAAAATAAAATGCACTTTTAATGGTATTACATTAATATAATGTTTAATAACTGTTTTTATTGAAGTGTCTATGGGTTATTCAGTTCTTTCCAGGGCATATCTCTCACCTGGGATCTCTGGTTGTCTGGAATTTCTGGCTGTCTGAGGGGAAGAGTAGGACTCAACAGTTAACTCAAGTGCTGCTCCTTAACTTCCTCTTCATCGCTCAAATGGCCGATGAGCAGCAGGATCTATTCAATGAAGGAACATATTAATTTAAACATAACTGCCTTTGTGCAAGCCTCATATCACATATCACCCTACAAGAATTACAAGTCAACTGTCTTTCATGACATTTAGAAATTCTTACAAACACCTAAAGGGAGGTAGATTTTAACCCATGGATGAACTGCTCATTCACTTTTGCTACCAACAATAACCAACAGATGGCACTAAGTGAAAAGTGAAGGTGAAGAACAGCAGTGACCTTATTCTCTAAGTTTGCACCTAATAACGGATAAATTCACAACTTACACAGCCCTATGTAATTCTTGACTTTACTCCATAAAGTTGGGAGACAAATGACAAATTTAAAAAATGTGAAAATTAAAGCAGTGGAGACCGAGATGTCCTGACCTTCAGTCCACAGCATTGATCAAGCTTGAAAAAAATGCTTAAACCTTCGTTTTCGACAATGCAACTTGTGATTCAACTTCATTAAATGAGATGATATCATCAGGTTGTCTTTCTCAAATTCTAGAGAGCTCCCTCCTTGTGATGAGTAAACTAAACTGCAACTGCCCCTTTAATAAAATACTGGCACGTGTGCATGAGACCTAAATCCACAGACTGAAGTTTCCACCACAATGAATGAAGCATTTTAATATTTCATGAGTCTGCCAGACATGGATACCACAAGTAAAGGGATCCTGAGTCACTTCTTCACCTGCGGGTGCTTGTCTGATTATTCCCACTTTGCTACAGACTCAACAGACGATGTGTCTCTTTAAAGGTTATTCATTATTTTAACAATAACACTACACAACATGCCATTCTTTTGATACTGTAAAACAGTGTGGAGTATTATTCTAATCTTAAAGCTTAACATGAACATGAAATATGAAAACTGAATGTTCATGATTCATACACTGATGTTCATGGCACAGCTCAGTGTGTATAAGTGTGTATGCGGCACTCACTCACTCACTAGGTAATAACTGGCAAGGCATTGGCAGTGATCAATATGGAGTAGGACTAGAAAGCCATAATAGGAGGACAAATATCAGAGGAGAGGCAGTCTGGGCGTCTGTGTGTAATGGATGATAGAGGTGTTAGTGTTTGGGCCGGTGTGCACTAAGTGGGTAAGCTGGTGGTTGGCAACATTGTGTGATACCAGCAGGGTCAATGATGGTGATAATGGGGAGGGTAAGTACTGTATTGGGGTTAATACTTCTGAGCTGGCCAAGAGATTATGGCACTGTCTGAAATATGGAAGACCCCTCAATGAAATGCTTTGCTTCCAGGCTTAACAGTAAACTAATGCCATCAAGAGTACCTGTACCAAGAGACAATCAGAAATAGAAAATGTTGTGGGGGTGTTATTTTGTTAAATTGGCTGACCATGACACTGACTTACTGTAATCAGTTTTGTGCTGATACATATACTGTACTTACGGTCAAATAAAGCTTTGGAGCTATAATTTTAATGAGAGGCTATTCTGATCTTTCTGTCACTGAATTTTATGATTTGTACATGCATGGGAAAAGTATGCAACTCATCATCTGCACCCCGATTTAAGTCTTAAGATCAAAAAGGTAATGATCAAAAGCCTGTTATGTTACTCCAGTTTAAGCTTCTCCTCATGGGTCCCTGTCACTTTTAGGGACTGATTTTAAAATTTTCCTTCTTACATACAAAGAATTACATGGCCAGGCCCTTCAGTAAAGGAACACTTTGGGAAATACACTTATTAGCTTTCTTGCCGGGAGTTAGAGAGAAAGATGGAGACCATGCTCACATCTGTATGGTAAAGCTGAAGCTGGAGCCAGGAGGCTGTTAGTGTAGTTTAGCTTAGCATTAAGACTGGAAACAGAGAGAAACAGCCTGGCTCTTCGACTCCAGAACAACTTCCTGCAAGGTCTAAAAAGAAGCTAAATCTGTGCACATCTTTATTTTTCTATTGAATTTATAACTTTAATTTTGTGTATTGTACCTGTACTTCTTCCTGTCTTTCTGTACTGTCTCTTGCATCCATCTTTTGCCCCTTTGTTCCTCCTGTAACATGCTTCTGTTTTGAAAGGTATAATGTAAATAACGTGCTTGCCTGCTTAAAATTCACACTCATGCAAATGAGTTAACTTGCCTTGTAAACCCATCTGTAATATAGATAGGGTAGCTGCATTAAACAATGTCTCTGTGGAAAAAAAGCAATGCTCCTGTAACAACCATGAGTTATGGTATCATGGCGTGCTACTTATTAAGATTTAAGCCCCCATATCTGGGTTACACTTGTCCCTCCCGCAATCCAGATGATGCCATCTGTGAGAAAAGAGCAGTGTGTATGTGTATGTGTGTGTGTGTCTGTGTGTGTGTCTGTTTGTGTGGCTTTCAAATCAAATGCTGAGTGTCTCTTTTCACTATTAATCCAGGTCATGCCCACTAAGATGGTAATAGACCGACTGGGACTGATGTGCTGCTGTTTATGCAGAGTGGATGGTTTCAAACAGGAATCGGGGAGAACTGAGGAAAGTTCTCACAAGGTTAAATAGAAAACACACATTTTTGATCAGATGCAGTACATGAGGAAGATGTGTGAGTGCAGAGGAGAAATGCAAAGGTTCTGCAGAACAAGGTGGACATTTGCAGAACATTTAGCAAAAATTAAACGCTGCATTGCATTTAATTTTTAGTGATGAAGCTATTAGTTAAGTAATCAGTCGATTGGCAGAAAAATAATTGAAGAAACCGGCAGAAAAGTGTCAATGCTGATTTTCTCTGTGCTAAATCATACTGTAACCTGAATATTTTGTGGTTTGGGACTCTTGGTCAGGTGAAACAGGTGATTTTAAGACTTCCTGTTGTGCTGTGGAAAGATTTTGATAGGCATTTTCACTATTTTCTAGCAAGAATCAATGATAACTCAGCTAATGGACAGAAAACAGGCCCTCATCAACACAATAATCGATGATGAAAGCATTAATTACATGCACATTTGATTTGATTAGATCCTGACATTAATAATAGGACATTTTTATATTAATATCCCATTTATAGAAGGCAGCTAGTGACTTATAGTTTATAAAAATAGGACTTATTAATACATCCTAAAAATAAAGCTGTGACTGGATGTCAAACGGCTGGCATGATGACTGTGATTGGATGACGGCAGTAAATCTGCTGGCCAAATCCCCTCGTGGCTCAAGCTGTGATTTGGACCAGAGAGATTTGTTTTCACAGTGAACTCCGCCCTGCAGAGATGACTACTGTCAATGGACAACACACGACTGCGACAGGCCAGCGAAGAGTTTGTTTAATTTGGATAAAACTGCTTGGACCCGACTTTGAGAGCTCCCTGCCGGCGTGCTGACGTGGGAGACACCGCACGCTGACAAGCTAACCCAACGGCCACTCTATGGTAAGATGGATGTACAACTGTGTTTTTAACATCGTCTGACATGTTGTTTTATGTCTCATGTTTGGTGTCTGTGTGTTGAAAAAGTTACCTGCTGTTAGATGTTAACATTTTCTGTCATGGAGAACAAACTTTTGTGACTGACAGCTTCAAACAGCCTCCACAGCAACGTACCATCTTGCTAGCATGAAGTTGTGCGGTGCGGTTTCAACGGTCACGCAGGGCATCATGGGAAATTTCCATATCAGGTGCATACAATAAAATGTAGGTGAAGTAATGTTTAACTCAAGAACATAAATATAGTATAGAAAAATTACAATAACAAAAAGGATATACCAAAATAATATTCACCTAAATAGATGCACTAAAACTTTTGCATCATGTACACTGCAATATTTTCTCAACATAATGTGCTATATTACTCTTAAATATCATGATCACTTGTCAGTGTAGTGCAATATCATGTTCTCAAAATCAAAATCATGTCCAATACTACTTCTCATTATCATATCATATATCATATAGTGATTATCAGGCGCAATCTGCATTTTTCCACTATTTTTAGTAACTCTTGTACTTATCTTAGTTCTGTTGTTACTCTTTTAAGCACTGGCTTTTGCTTCTTGCGCTTACACACTTTATATCTTGTATATTTTGAATATTATGCCTGATATTTAATACTATCTTGTTTTTAAAACTGGGCCCAGTGTGTGACCCTGACCGGGGGAACCAACTGGTTGCTCCGGTTGTTACTGGTTTGTGAACGTTAATTGTTGTTACAGTATTTGGTTTTACTGTAGCTTAGGCATTCTCTGGCACAAGAATTAACTTTGGGATAAATTAAATTCTATTGAATTGAATTAAACTGAATTGAATTGAATTGAAATCACTTATTGTTTTTATTAAGAATAAGTGAATTATTCGTGAATTTTAGTCTTTAATTAGGCTAGGAAAATATATATAAGTCTTGACTATTAAACTTTTTAATGGGCCAACCTCCCAGTGATTGTTTTTTTTCTTCAATAGCTTACATAATGGATGTCAAAGTTAAGATCTGATGTAGTTGATGTCCTACAGTTGACAAAAAATTATATATTTATTAATTTCACAACAGTTGTACTGAGTAGCCTTTTTATTTTTCAAAGCTGCTACGAGTTCTCTTTGTGCTAATCAAAAAACTTGTTTTCAAACCATAATTCTTATTTATTTTGATGTAGACAGAGCGGACCTGTCATGGTTCAGACACACCCAATAGTAATATTGATAAATACATTTATCAAAAAATAGAAAGTTTACCAGCCATTGAGCAGCATTCCTGCCTTTTTGGCGACCAGGAAGTGAGACAGCAGTCCTTGAGATATACCAACCCCCTCTAATGCCTGATTAAATTATGTTTTTGTAGAAATCTGTCAAATAGACTGTATAAATAATGGATATAGCGACCAAGACATCGCCCATTGGTTTGTGGACCCCTGTTTTGAAGCCTGGAGTTTGGCAATTTGGCTGTTGCCATCTTGGTTTTTTGGAGCCAGAAGTGACCATATTTAGTTGAAAAGGTGGAGCTGTGGAGGAGCGAGGGGTGGATCTGACTCACAGAGCATAGTGACACCTCTCTGACAGCGGCCCTGCCCTTAAATATGACTAACTTTGGGCCTTAAAAAATGTAAACAGATGAGTTATAAAAAAAAAATTAAAAAAATTATTCCCTTTGTTATGAGTGCTGGAATTAGCTATAGAGACCAAAACAGTTTTTTGTACCTGGCTGTAAATGTGTTTATTTCTGCTGTAAAGTTGGACATTTTAACATTTGGAGCCAGCCTCAAGCAGCCATTCGATGAACTGTAGTTTTGGCACTTTCGCATTAGCTTCATTTTTCAGCCCCAGAGATTGCCATTTGCTTTTAACATGGGTTTTTATTGCAGCAGCATACCAGATGGTGGTGAGGATGGACTAAATGACGGCAGTGTATAAGTGCACCATCATTGTTTTTGGCAGGTTGAACTTCTTTAGCTGCTGCAGGGAATATTATCTCTGCCTTGCTTTTTCGACCTGTGGTTCAGCTCTCACCTGTGATTCTGGGTGATGGAGCCCAGGAAGCAGAAGGACTCATGTCACAGAATGATGGGGTCTGGTGGGGCTGCGAAAAATCTATAACCATCTCCACTGTCTTTAGAGCACTGAGCTCTATGTTGTTTTGAGCACACCAGGTCAGCAGATGGTCAGTCACCACCTGTAGGCAGACTCCTCCCCACCAAAGATGAGCCCAAGTTGCTGCAAATGATGCTTGAGTGCCACCCTGAAAACACAAATGTAATATTTTAATTTAATAACAATGTTTTGCATATTCATAAAGTCTGGATTTTATAATGATGAAGGGAGAAGCATTTGTAACTGTTTTTGCCAAAGGAAATTGAACTTTTCTTGCGAATAGCTAATAATTTATAGTATTTTTATGTGCTAAATCTTCTAATCTATTATTTGGTTAACACCCTCATGTTAACTTCACAGTTGACACTTAAAGCAGACTTCAGCTTTATGTAGCTGTCAAGCACTTGATTTGCTTATGAAAAAATCTTATTTCTGTCACTGCTGTATCTAAAAAGAGGAGCAAACTGCTTGCTAGGCTTCAGTTAATAGGTGAAAATTGCTGCGATACACTGATGAGACAGCCAAAAGAATGTTAACAAGAATTGACCCCTGAATTTGTGATTCATATCATCTGTCACATTTGTTCAAATTGCTAGAACATGAACTTCGTTTTGATGTTAAAGCTCCAAACTCCTACTCTCACTGTTAGCAAAGCAGCTCCATGTATTCCCCTGGGTATTCACACATTCAGGGGTTCTCTGTGACTTGTTTGCCACAGTGCACAGAATATGAAATTGATGGTCGTTATGGTAAGTTGATGTTCTTATTGTTACCAGTGCGCTGGCTCACTGCTGCCTATAATTACTGGCAATCACTCAATCCCTTGTGTCAAATCCATTCAATAAAGGAGTGTAAAGTGACTTGCAAATTCACTTAAAAACAGCCACATCTGTTGTCTTCACACCTCTTTTATCACAATAAACTTGCTGAATGAAACAGCTGTTGCTGAGCATGTTTCATCCTTTTACAAAAAAACCCAATAACATACAATAGGTGAACCACTTTGACAGGTAGTGATAAATTGTGACATTCAACAGCGAGTGGGCCAATATTCAACACGGCAAATCATAATTAAAATCATGAAAGGTTTAATTCTGATTAATGCTGTCCTCTATATTTTTCACCATTCTTTTTGAATTAATATAATCAAAGACAAAATAGAATAGCGGGAATACAAATTGTGAATAAGTACAGAAATACTGGAAATCATCACTGTAGTTATTAGTGAGAAAATCAGTAACAATACAGTCATGTGCTAAACCTTGACTTAATGACTAATGCATAACCTGCATGCATTTAGACACCATGCTTTATTACCACTGACGTTGCTTTATATATAGAATATAGATTCATGTTTTGATAGTTTTACCCTGCAGGTTGTACAGTGGTATACGATGAGATGTCAGAGCTGTCCTCTGTCCCCCAGCAGGTGCTGTGGCCGAGATGTGAGAGGGGGTCATGCCTTTGGTCAAGAGAAACATTCAGCCTCGGCACCTGTGCCACGCTACAGTGCCTGACGGGATTGGCAACGAGCTGGAATGTGTGACCAACAACACGCTGTCCGCCATCATCCGCCAGCTCAGCAGTCTGAGTAAGAGTTACTTATGTTTAGCTATGTTTGTGTCAAATCATGTTCAGATGCTTCCATAATGTGATACCATGACCTGCTCCAACTTTGGAGCATAATCACCACAACTTTGCATAAAACAAATTCAGTGTGGGATGTAATTCTGTTTAAGATGCAGTGTCATCCCAACAAGACAACACAAAAAAACCAAAGCGTTTTGTGGCCGTCGGAAGTTATTGCATAAACACAACAGCAGATCAGAATTTTCTCGTGAGCCCTCAGATGATTTGACCTTGACAGGAAAGCTGTGTATTTACAAGAATATGGTGATACAATACGTATCATGGTACAGGGGTTATGATTTAATATATTGCGATACAGTAGGCAAGGTGATATATGGTGATTTGTTTAAATCTAATTTTAGGAAAACTCATTCATTTAGATGGGGTACACCCTGGACAGGTCGCCAGACTATCACAGGGATGACACACAGAGACAGACAACCATTCACGCTCTCATTTACACCTATGGGCAATTTAGAGTCACCAAGTAACCTGCATGTCTTTGGGTTGTGGGAGGAAGCCAGAGCACCTGGATGAACCACTCACCCTGGGTTCGAACCAGGAATCCTCTTGCTGTGAGGTGACAATGCTAATCACTGCACCACCGTGCCACCCAGAAACAATGTTAGAGTATAAAGAACACATGACCATATGCACAATTCTGAGTGGAAAAAAGTTAACTGTCTTTATGCAATCAGAACAGCAGGATCTGCATTTGTATTTATCACAATCCCTGTAACATGCTTGTGATATCAGAGTCAAATGGCTGAAGATAGATAACAACATTGCTATCAAGCAGTTGGAGGTAAAAACACAGCACAAAATGAGCCACTGCCACAAATCTTTGCATGTAAACTACTAATTTAAGAACGATACGAGTGTTTGAGAATCAGCAGTATCACAAAACATAATATCGCATTACTCAAGTGTGTGAATATTTTCTTATGCCCCTACATGACATGATGCATTAAATCTATACTGCATATAAATTATTGTATATAGTGCTTCATTTCCATAATCATCGAAAGGTTATTATGAGAAAACGGTTACCATATATCCCGGTGTCACTTGATTATTAGGCTTTCAACAAGCCAAAGAAAACAACACATTAAAGCTATTATCACCTAACTGTTTGAGTTAATGTACATTATTATCCAACACTGTAATCAGTACTGACATCTACCTACTGTACACTCTAATGAGCCACTTTGTGCAGAAGCAGAGTGGTTTAAATGCTTAATGATGTGTGGCAGTATCTATAAGCATTGGCATACCTGTGTGTTTGTTGTGTAGGTAATACTGCACTGAGACCGAGAGAAAAATGTAGAGTGACTATTTTGGGAAGCAAATTTACTCCTGGACATCTGGCCCATGGATGCTCTGATTAGTGTGTGTATGTGTATGTGTGTGCGCGTGTGGTGGATTTAGTGAAGTTACAGGAGCTTAGAGCTTACCGTAAAGCTTCGTATCGCAGGCAGATAAGACGGAGAGTGAGTGGGCGGAGACACAAACAGGGGCAGTCTAATGATAGCTTCCACATTAAGTGGATCTGAGCTGGCTGACGTGTGTGCCATTCATGCTCATGCTGTTATGTGCAAGGACCAATCGCTGAATGCTGATGTGTAATCCAGAGAATAGAGTGGATTAACAAATGTACAATTACAATAAGATATTGTATTTTTCTGTGTCATGAAATATGCTGCACTTCTTTCTTTACCTCAGAGGTTTGAAACACCTTTCTGTGTATCAACAACTCGCCTTCTTCCTTCATTTTCTTCACTCTGGTTGCAGGTAAACATGCAGAAAATGTTTTTGGGGAGCTTTTTAATGAGGCCAACACTTTTTATGTGCGCGCCAACTCACTCCAGGACCGCATCGACCGCTTGGCCGTCAAGGTCACCCAGCTGGACTCCAGCGTGGAGGAGGGTTAGTTCACCAGAGATCATCTGTCTGCTGATTTAACATCTTATTTTCTACCCTGTCATTCACTTTCACATGCTTTGTACTAAACTTTAAACCCCTGTCTTACTGTTTTGTAGTCTCTCTTCAGGACATTAACATGAGGAAGGCATTCAAAAGCTCTGCTGTCCAGGACCAGCAGGTTCTGTCCAAAGGCAGCATTCCAGGCTCGGTGGCTGAGATGCACAACAGCAGCGACAGGCCTCCTCCTCTCAGCACCCTCACTGCCTACAGGTAAAAATCAAAACATCTGAATAGGTCACATTTTCACTTGTCTCATTTCATGTGTGAAACTATTTTTTTTTTTAATATAGAGAGGATTCCACTGATGCCATGAAATACTACTCAGACCCATCATACTTTTTTGACCTGTGGAAGGAGAAGATGCTTCAGGACACAGAGGAAAAGAGGAAAGAGAGGCGGAGGCAGAGGGTAAGAGCAACACTCTACCCACTGCTTTATTCTTAAATATTTATTTGGCAGGTGGGTTTCTATTTTTTTTTCTGTCCCTTTATCCACATTCCCCAGGAACAGAAGCGATGTGTGGAAAGCAGCACGCTTCAGCGCGAGGTGAAGAAAGTGAGAAAGGCTCGAAACCGCAGACAAGAGTGGAACATGATGGCATTCGATAAGGAGCTTCGTCCAGATCACCGCCATCCACAGAGTCTCCGGCGAGGAGCATCATCTGAGGGCTCGCTCTCCCCAGACGGCAGGTTAGTACTTAGTTTGTTACAGAGGGAGGTGCAACCTCCACATAACAGAATTTGTGTTCTTACATGGAATCAACATTTAACTGTCTACTAGGGGTGGGCGATATGGCCGTAAAATGATATCACGATATTTCAGGGTATTTTTGCAATAATGATATTCTTGACAATATGACAAATTAGTGAAAAAAACATTTAATTTAAGAGCATAAAATTGCAATAAAATAATAATAATTTATTATATATATTATCTCTCATTTCTTTTGTTTGTAAACAACAACAGTAACTCAGAGAGAGATTCAGATTCTGTATACAATATTAATTGTACAATAAAAAATATCTACCCCAAATTACACATTTAAACAGCTCCCAAACAAAAAAAAACTACCCTGGGATCTATATATATAAATCAACAGGTGATTTCCTTCTTTTATCAAAATCCTAAATGATTGAGTTTTTTTTTTTCCAGCTGGACCTTAATGCTCAGCCATTTCTCCTCTGATCATCACGCTGTAACCTGTGACAGGCTGTTATGATGCCAGAACTATCACACATTCACATATAGGTAGTTTTTTTGTCGAGCTGCGAGCGTCATGTAGGATTACATTACCAAAGGTTTATGACAAAATCACTTGACAACACAGACTCCTGTGTGTGCACAGCAAGAGAGGAGAGGGAGAGACACTGTGCTGCTGCCAGAGGAGCTGCTGAATGAGTTCCCTCTGAGCGGTAACTCACTAAAAGAGTCTGAGAAGTCCGGAGCTGTTCATAAAACATTCAGGACGCCACAGTTTATTCTACACAACTAAAGCTGCTCCTCTTTTTGGAACCACCGCAGAGTCAGTACTAATTTCGCTTTCAGACATGCTTATTGTTGCCGTGGGTAACAGTATGACGTCAATGCCAACAAGTTGAAATATTGCAAGTATCACGATATGAATTTTTTATATCATATCAACAATTATACGGGTATTATCATGAAGGAGATGACATGGCACATCCCTAACGTCTAGTGTGTAGGATTTAGTGGCATCCAGTGGTGAGGTTGCAGATTGCAACCCACTGAAACTTTTCCCATGTGCCAAGCATCTTGGAGAACTACAGTACAGTAGCCAATGCGAAAATGCAGATTGTCCTCCCCAAAACCAGTGTTTGTCCGCTCTGTGCTACTGTGGGTTACTGATAGGTTGTTGCATCTGCTCTTTCTGATACTGCATATAAAATGTTTTTGCCTAGATTTATATGCACTGGAAAGTCATGCACAAAGCCTGTGTGTCCACAGTAAAAAAATGATCAGGATAATACTGTAAAAACCCCAAAAATAAAAGATCATAAGGATGATATAGAATGTCCTCTGTCTATCTGTCCCTGTGTTTCCACTGAATCTTGAGTTTTAAACATAGAAAAATGCAACATTAATGTAACTTAAAGAAATTGTATAAAGACAGAAATATGATCATCAAGACAAAATGGAGATTTCTATAAATTAGAGACAATATTAGAGACAGAGTTTGGGAGGGATAGAGTCTAAACTGCGCTTCAGTATTGGGGGGGGGGGGGGGGGGGGGTCCTTTTTCTGTGAATAGGACCTTGTGCGTCAAAAAGCAATATCTCTGTTGTGTAAAGCGTTCAGTTCTGATTTTATAACAACAAATCCACCATCTGGATAGGTGAAGGCATCAGCATGAGAAGCTCTCTGTTTTCCATTGTTTATCCAGGCCTGACCTTCCAGACTACCCCATCCCTCCAGTGCCTGCCCACGCTGCTTGTAATCATGCCAAGTCACATGATTATGTGCCTGGGAACGCACACCCCTCACCACCTGTGGAGCATGAATACCACAGCATTGATGTCAACTACAAGAGAGTAACCTACGCCACAGCAGAGCCGCATGCTGCAGACCGAATGAACGGCTCAATACGTCCACCTGCAGATTACAAGTGTGTTTTTGTTGCATAATCAGAGAAAGAAGTAAATGTAATATCTATTTTACACTGCAACATAATCCTCTTTCTTTCACTGTCCACCAGCTCTCTCCCCCTACCTCCAGCTCCGGGCCCACCCATCCCATCAGCACAGACAGCGTTTGGCTTTCCTCTGGGTGCGCTACCACCAACACCACATAATGGAGTTTTGCACGTAGGCCCAGGTTACCCTCTGCCACCTGTACCACCTCCAGGGCCACACATGTTCCCTCCTCCTCCAGGTCCCCCACCTCCACCTCTCCCTCCCCCAGCTGTACCCTTACACCTGGCAGGACAGAGCGAAGGCGGCAGAGCTGAGACTAAACCTGTGAGAGATGCGAGAAGTGACCTGCTGTCCGCCATCCGCATGGGTGAGTCAGAGAACTGGCTCAGTGTACTCTGCATTGTTGGATAAAAGCAGACATGATTGTTTAAACTATAACCTGACTGTGTATGTTCAGGTGTATGATATGTTTTCACATTTCCATGTATTGTGTGTGTGCCCTTATCAGGCATCCAGCTGAAGAAAGTTCAAGAGCAACAGGAGCTGCAGAACAAGCAGGAGCCGGTGGGGAACGACGTGGCCACCATCCTGTCCCGACGCATTGCAGTGGAGTACAGCGACTCTGATGACGACTCTGAGCTGGAAGAAAACGAATGGTCAGACTGACCAAACATAAATTGAAGCACATGGCTCAAGTTTTGCTTTATTGAATCTTCAGTGCAAATGAACTGTGAATCACTCTCTCTGGCTCCACCTAGTGGACGCTGCAGACCAAACCACCTCTGCCAAAGCACCTTTACTTCATCTCGTAGTATCAATGTGCTGCAACATTCATTTTCCATGAGGAAATGACGTGAGTGGCAGTTTGCATCATTTCTCTGAAACAGGTGAATTTTGGGATCTACTGCATGCAGCTTTTAAAAAGTGATAAATTGTATGATCACTAAATATTTAGTTTTGTACCACTGATGAAATGTGAGCCATTGTTTTTCTCACCGTCAGTATGTTTTAATAAAATGTCCTCTCGTGATAGCAAACTGACACCTTGAACACACCATACCCACTGAAATGTGCAGTAGACCATAAAGCTGACATCCACTTTTCACTGGAGACATTTTGACTTGTTGCAATTGGAAAAGCACAGGTATTAATAATTAAAGGATTGGCTGCATTCCATGTAGCTGCTTCAGTTTCAGGATCCTGGTGCTGTGCATGCTGGCTCATTGTCACACTGTCATGACTTACTGGGACATTCAAATAGAACAAAGCCATTATTGTATTCTTAAGGAACAATTGTATTTATCCTATTATGACAAGTCAAAATGTCTGCTGTTGAAAACGCCTGCTATTTAAAAATGACTGCAGTAATATGAATCATTTATCTTCATCATTTTATGGAATTACACATCCCTGATAATATTTTGGACTACATGTACCCCTCCCTATATTATGTGAATGTTTTATGAGTGATTTCATTTGACGTTTTGTGAACACTACCTCAATTTGTGACCATCAACTACCCCACAATACGATATGTGTAGTAGCTACAAATCATGATGAGTCTAAATACAGTTTTGCTCTGCCATTGTTGTGATGTGTCCTTGAAAAAGTTGACAAATCATTAACTTTTTTCAGTATCAGCAAGAATATAATGTGATTGTCTCCTTTACTGTTTTCTTCTTCCTCCTTCTCTCCGCCCCCCCCCCCCCCCCCCCCCCCCCCCCCTTTTTTTTTAAGTTAAACTCCTTTCAGTAGCACCATAATCTCTGATCTGGGCACCATAATCCCATAGTAGCTACATTTGTAGCATAACCTAAATTGTGTAACAAATTATCATGCTGTTTGTATTTTAGTTTACATGCAGATGTCCAGAAGCTTTACATTGTGTAAGTGAGCACATGACAGCAACAAGGCATTGTGGAGACGTGTCAATAAGCCTGATAGTGTTATTATCTTGTAGCTGTTGTGCATTTTTTAATTTATCATAGCCCAATCTGATAATCCAATAAGAGATGCCACTTAGTGACTGAATAAAATTATGTAGGTAGCCTGTATCACTGTATTTTAAAGTTTATGTGAGTAGGTAGGCTATCAGTGGTGTAGTGGGGGGTAAACACGGGTAAATGTTTGGATTGATTACCAGCAAAATGTCATTTATATTAACACATACTGACCAGGAAGAGACACAAGAAGACCACAAAGAGATGCAAGGAACTGCAAAGAGACACAAAATACCTACAAAGCAAAACAAAATGACCAACAATGGAAACAGTATTACCTCAGAGTCAAAATATTACCTCAATAAAACACAAAATGACCTCAAAGAGATGTAAATAATTACAAAAAGACACAAAACCACAAGGAGACAGAAAATGATCACAAAGACACACAAAACCACAAAAAATATGCATAACAACTACAAAGAGATGCAAAACCACTACAAAGTCTGTGTCTTGCTCCTGTGCAGGAGAGGTGATGGGGCCCTTAGTATATCTGTGCCCACTGCCCAGGGGTACATTGTCTCATAATCTACTCATGGGTATATACCCACCCCTTTTTCTGGTTTACAGCATACCCATCCATCAGCCAAAAAGTAAGTGGAATGTATAGAAGAGTATACCCACTTCCTCATTGGTAACATACATATCTACCTATAGTACACCCCCCTCATCAACCACCACTACACCACTGCTATTTAGAGACTGCTATTTATTTATTTATTTATTTATTTATTTATTTATTGGACCAAATATTTCCCTTAAGCCTCCCTAAGTGACTTGGGGAAATGCATGACCATCCCTCCACTATGAATTAGTTGTTAAATTTTAAAAACTTTGCCTTATAATATGAGAAAGGTAAAAGTTAAAGATGAAATCCTGGAGTGGAATAAAGCCAAGTCAAAATTTTGTTAAAATTTTAGATGTAGAATAAAATGATTTTTTTAATGAAGTATCACTACTTTAAGATAAGATTTAGTTACCTTTTTTTTAAAGGAAGTGTTCGTCACATAATATGTGATATGACCGTCAGAAGTTTGAAACTCCAAAGATTTTTTATATTTTTTTTACAGTTTCTGAATAAGATACACGGTGTAATTTTTACATGTTCATAAATGTTTAATTTATAAAAGTTCATAAATTAAGAATAGTCCCGTATGTACATCTAGCTATGAAGTAGTCAAAAGCTATGGCTGTTACCCAGGTAAAAGGTATACACCGTAGCCAAAAGCCTAAATTAAAAATGAAGTTATAAAGATAAAGTGGTCATTCCTTCGTTCATTTACGTCCGTTTGAAACAGTCCTAGTTAGTTTATTTATTTCCAGCAGAGGTCAGTGTTGCGCCTGGAGGAAGTGTTTAGACCGGCGGAACTTAATCGTCGATTAGGAAACTGTTAAGCTTCGGCCGCCATGTTGGCTCCATAGACAGTCAACCAAGCCAGAGCGGAGGAAACCGTTTGAGCCACAATGGAGATGTTTTCTTCCCGTGACAGTCCGGTGCCTCGCAGGTGATTAACACAGTGAAGCTCCTCCTCAGCCTGCTACGTTACAGACAAACCTGGACAACTACATATTAACATAAGGTAAAATATTTATAGTAGCAGTATAATTTTAGCTTCTGTTTTTATAACAGTTGGATATTTCCTTACAGATCAAATATTGCGTGAATTAACCAGTTACCGTTAATCTAGCTCAACCTTTCTGCGATGATGATGATGAACATAGCTAGTATTTGCTAGCTGACCTGACTCATACGCGCACACGCACAAATCAGCTTTGCGCTTAACGTTACGCGTGTGTGTGTAAACACTATGCTACCATCTGGCTAGCAAACATGTCCTTTACCTTATCTTGAACCCAGGATAAACTTAAAACACATGACAGGTCTGCAGCCTCAGCTCAGTTAGCTTGTGACCTTACACTGCCACACTTCATTTATAATGTAGAGACAACTGTGCTGGTTCCTGGTAATGTGACATGGTGCTCATACACATGTCCATATCAGCGTGGGGTATAAAGTCACAGACTGTGTTAAAGTAGGCAGCCATAGTAGCATAATTATTTAAGAGGATGTATGATGTATTGCATGATGTGTGAAGGTTTGTCTGCCTAGTGTAATCAATTTAACTAAACAAATGTTTCTCATATTCATTCCTGATGTTTGCAGGACATAAACTATTAAGATGGATACCTCAACACTTCCCAAGATCCAGGATGAGGAGCGAGAAAGCAAGTTTGGATATGTACATGGGGTTTCTGGACCAGGTCTGGTTTATTTCCCTTTTCTTTAAATGGCTAGATTGCATAATTGAGCATCTGTTGTGTGTCCTTGAAAACCTTTTACGGTATTGTTGCTCCCCCCCCAGGAGCAGAAATATGGATAAAATCCTGTATTAATGTTGGTGACGTTAAAACTTGCAGAAAAGGAATCATGGAGTAAATATAAAAATGACAGGAATCATTTGCTCCACAGAATAAATTGGGGAAAATGAATACTCGTCTTTATATTTTTTATTTAAATCAAAAGATTCAAATGTTAAAGCAGTCTGAATGTTATGCAAATACAAAAAATAACAAAAATACTATATTTTTGATATCTGTCATATTCCTTGTCCAACATATTTTTATTTTAACAATTTCTATATTTTTATAATAACAGTGGTGACAGCGACTGCAATGGCAGGAGCAGCCATGTACGAGCTGGTACGTGTAGGTCACAGTGAGCTGGTGGGAGAAATCATCCGTTTAGAGGGAGACATGGCAACCATCCAGGTCTATGAGGAAACTTGTATCCTTTATGCCGCCATATTACCTTCATCTGTCATTACACACGTAACAAACCCTGTCATGATTTTCCTAAAAACCTAAATTCACCTTCTGAGTGGTTGAAAACACACATTTTAGAGTTACTTTACTATTAGAAAACTGAAGTGTGAAATTTAGTCACTGTTTTGTTTTCCTTAACTTGATGCCATAGCTGGTGTGTCTGTCGGTGATCCTGTTCTGCGGACAGGAAAACCCCTCTCTGTAGAGCTGGGTCCAGGAATCATGGGCTCCATCTTTGACGGTATCCAGCGTCCATTAAAAGATATCAACGACCTCACTCAAAGCATCTATATCCCAAGAGGAGTGAACATAGGTGCCCTTAACAGAGACCTCAAATGGGAATTTTCCCCCGGCCAGAGTCTTCGGGTAAGAACAAGTCTGACTTTGCTGTGGATGTCTGTCTTCTGCTACTACTCCTAATTATTCACATAATCTCCTCTCCAGGCCGGCAGTCACGTGACAGGTGGTGATATCTATGGCATGGTTTTCGAAAACTCCTTAATAAAGCACAAGCTGATGCTTCCACCTCGCAACAGAGGCACTGTCACCTACCTGGCTCCACCTGGAAACTATGACATTTCTGTGAGTATGTCCAGAAGTTAAACAGTGTTGTTGGGATCGAAACTTTCTGTGAGGCTGATTCTCTGATTGTGTTTTGTTCAGGATGTGGTCCTGGAGCTCGAATTCGAAGGTATTAAGGAGAAGTTCACCATGATGCAGGTGTGGCCAGTACGACAGATCCGCCCAGTAACAGAGAAGCTACCTGCTAATCATCCGCTGCTAACAGGTCAGAGAGTTCTGGACGCACTTTTCCCGTGAGTAATCCAGCCTCTATTTTAACTTTATAAACACTTATGAAGTGAGTTTTCAAATGTGTGGAGCTTTTTATGGTTCCGCTGTGTGATAAAATCTTTAAGCTTCCAATTAAACTGCATGACCTTTGTGCTGTGCAGTTGCGTGCAGGGTGGCACCACTGCTATACCAGGCGCCTTTGGATGTGGAAAGACGGTGATCTCACAGTCCTTGTCCAAGTACTCCAACAGTGACGTTATCATCTATGTTGGCTGTGGAGAGCGTGGAAATGAAATGTCTGAAGTGCTGCGGGATTTCCCAGAGGTAGGTAGAAGAACAAAAAGTTTTTTATCATTGATCTCCACTTTACTGGGTCAATTTCAGCTCATTTTAAGCTTTAAAAAAATGATTTCAATAATGAGCAAAAAGTCTTTAATACAGCACCAGTGTTCACATTGTATTATGTTAAACTCTGCTCTTCCCCAACAGCTTACTATGGAGGTCGATGGCAAGACTGAGAGCATTATGAAGAGAACAGCACTGGTTGCTAACACCTCCAACATGCCTGTGGCTGCCAGAGAGGCCTCAATTTATACAGGTACCAATTGGAAACCTACAAAAGTGAAATGTGTCCACTTGAGAGGAAAAATTATGTCCAGTTTTTCTGAATTTATGACATTATTATCTTTTCATGGAAAAAAAAATCAGCTCATTTTTTCCCAATGTATAAAATGATAATCAAGTTAATTCAGAAAAACATGGCAGATCATTTTTTAAGTGAATATATTACGCTTACAATTGTTTGTAGAATCAAATCTCCAGAACTTGTAAAGTGAATATAATTACCTCTGCAGGGATCACACTGTCCGAATACTTCAGAGATATGGGCTATAATGTGAGCATGATGGCCGACTCGACATCTCGATGGGCCGAAGCTCTGAGAGAAATCTCTGGAAGATTAGCTGAAATGCCTGCTGGTAAGTTCATGATGGATGCGATTGATTTATATACATTTGTGAGGACACTGTGAGACACTTACGTATGTCCTTATTTG